AAAACAAAAAAACAAAAACAAAAAACAAAAAAAAAACTGACTGCAGAATGAATCTTACTAAAACTCCAGCACAGACCTAACTCGCCTCAGTCCCCGATGAAATTCAATGATCAACGTCTGGCCCTGTGTGTCTGACGAAAGAAAAAGGAAGCATCTCTGGCAAAAGATAGCCTTACCTAGCATCTCTGGTTCTTACAGTTCTTTTATCTACAATGTTCAGCATATAGTGCAAAACTGCAAGGAGATAAAATCATATGCAAAAAAGAGACAGTAGAAGCAGGTCTACAGATCACCCCAGTTCTGGAGTTAGTAACAAGGATTTTAAAATAACTCTGGTTAATAGGCTCAAGAAAATCGAGAAGGGATGAATTAAAGTGTGGAGATTTTCACCAGAAAACTAGGATCGTTAAAAAAAAAATGAAATGGAATTTTCTGGAGTGACAATAACATTCTAATCTTGAGTGGGTGTGGATTACACTGGTGTATGCATTTGTCAAACTCTGTATGCAGGTTTAAGCTTTGTGCATCAATGTATCAATTTTATCTTGAAAGAAACAAGCTGCCTGTGTCTTCCCCTCTCTCTGCCCCTCCCCCACTTCCTCTCTCTCTCTCTCTCTCTCTCTCTCTCAAGGGTAGACATTAAAAAAAAAAACCTAAAAAAAAAAAAAAAGGCAGGGGTGCACCTAGGTGGCTCACTCTGTTAAGTGTCAGACTTCTGCTCAGGTCATGACTCATACACGGTTCTTGAGTTCGAGCCCCGTGTTGGGCTCGGTGCTGACAGCTCAGAGCCTGGAGCCTGCTTAGCATTCTGTGTCTCCCCCTCTCTCTGCCCCTCCCCTGCTGGCCCTCTGTCTCTCTCTCTCAAGAATAAACATTAAATATATACATATATTTATATATAATAAAAAAAGAAAGAAACAAGCTGCAAATATTGAAGTATAATTAGCGATGTGCATGCTGAAGTATTTAGGGACAAGTATGTGAATATTTGCCATTTGCTTTGACATGTACCCAGAAAAATAACACAGATTGAAGGGTAGATAGAGGGATGAATAGATAGATGTGCAAAAAATCAAGCAGAGTAAAATATACTAATGGTAGAAGCATCACAGATATTCACTGTATATTCTTTTCAACCTTGATTTATATTTAAATGCTTTCATAATAAAATATCGATGCAATTTAATAAGAAGATATTATAAATATCAGTATGTGAAATAAAGTTGACAGTTTGGATGAAAGATGGACAATTTCCTCGAAAATTTAACTAATCCCCTATAGTGTTTTAAAATATTCCACAATTTTTTTTTTGACACTCCTTTCAAAATGTGGAGCCTAATTTCCTTGAATATGGGCTGGATTTCATGGCTTCCTTCTACTGAATACGAAAAAAATAGAAACAGCCATTGTGACTTCAGAGGTGAGGTCACAAAAGGCAGCACAGCTTCCTATTTGTTCTCTCTCTTGGAGCATCTGCTCTGCGAAAACCAGCCGCCATGTTGCCCTGTAGAGAGGCCCACATGGTAAGAAACTAAGGCCTCTGCCAACACCTAACAAGGAACTGAGACTCCAGCCAGTAATCACTGGGCGAGCTTGGATTTGGATCCTCTAGTCCCACTGAAGGCTTTGGTTGCCTGCAACCCTAACTGACATCTTGACTATAACCTCATGAGAGACTTTGAATCAGAACAACCCAGCTAGGCTGCTCTTAAATTTCTGATCTACAGAATCTTTGAGATGAACTTTGGGCAACAAAGCCTTTCTAGAGAGCAGTATGATACCACTTAAGACAAGTTAAGTATATGCTGTCCTGAGACTTAAAGATTCTAAAAGCAAAGTGAGTGGTCATCAACAGGCAAATGAGGAGATAAAATGAAATAATATGCTTGCTGTTTTAAACCTTCACTTTTAGTACAGTTTTATTGCAGCAATAGAAAAGTAGTGCATTTAAGCTAGTAGAAGAGAGAACCGAAAATCTGAATAGTCAAATATTTATCAAGGAAACTGAGTCCATTAACTAAAACTTCACCACAAAGAAAACCCCAAGCCCACATGGCTTCACTAATAAATTCTTCCGAATATTTAGTGGAGAGAACTGACATCAATCTTGCACAAACGTTCCCAGATAACAGATAAAGAAACACTTTCTAATTCGTTTAGTGAGGCCAGCATAATGTGCCAAAGCCCTCACAAAAAAGAAAAATTAAATCAAGCTTGCTCTTTTTCGTAAATATAAATGCAAAATCTTTAACAAAAGTTCAGCAAACTGAAACCACCCCAAAATTGAGGATATGATGTAGAGCAAAAGAAGCCAGACACACTGGGTGTTGTGTGTAAGTGATAAATCATGGGAATCTAACCCCAAAACCAAGAGCACCCTGTATACACTATATGTTAACCAACTCGACAATAAATTGTATTTAAAAAAAAAAAGAAGCCAGACACAAAAGAATATATACATATGATTCCATTTCTAGAAAGTATAAAGAAGACAAAACTAATTTATACCATTAGAAGTAGGGGCGCCTGGGTGGCTCATTTAAGCGACCGACTTCAGCTCAGGTCATGATCTCACGGTTCGTGGGTTCGAGCCCCACATCGAGCTCTGTGCTGACAGCTTGGAGCTTAGAGCCTGCTTTGGATTCTGTGTCTCCCTCTCTGCCCCTGCCCCTCTCATGCGCGCGCGCTCTCTCTCTCTCTCTCTCTCTTTCAAAAATAAATAAACATTAAAAAATTAAAAAAAAAAAGAAGTTAGCATAATGATTACCCTTTGGGAAATGATACTTAGGAAGCACTTCTGGTGGGGGTTGCACCTGGGTGGCTCAGTTGGTTAAGAGTCTGACTTCAGCTCAGGTCACTATCTCGTGCTTCATGGGTTCGAGCCCCACGTCGAGCTCTGTGCTGACAGCTCAGAGCCTGGAGCCTGCTTCAGATTCTGTGCCTCCCTCTCTCTCTGCCCCTCCCCCGCTTGTGCTGTGTGTCTCGCTGTCTCTCAAAAATGAATAAACATTATTTTTTAAAAAAAGGAAGCATTTCTGGGGGTGTTAGTAAGGTTCTATTTTTTGATCAGAAGAAAGTTTATTGAACATTATGCTTATGATATATGCATATTAATGTATGTATATACTTCTCCAAAATGTAAACTGATTTAGGCAAAAGAAAATACACGCATACAAACCAATAATAAACATTGGCAAAAACACACATTATGAAAAGATTCAGAAATAGGAGTGTGGAAATACTAATGGGGAATAGGAAAGGATCTTTTCTCCTGTTCCCATGCCTGTCTCATTCCATTCAGCAAACACAGGGCAGCTCTAAATCAGAGTTGGCCTCTAACCTGGAGATGGAGAGAGAGGCAGGCCCAGTCTAAACATTTGTGAGCCCAGGAAAAACAGTTTAAATAGAAGGCCACATACCATATACCTATACATTTTAAAGTTATAGATCAAGCTAACAAACTGTTAAATAAAATATGTTCTGTCTGTCTGCCTTCACACACACACACACACACACACACACACACACACACACACACACCCTTCATAATGATCAGGAATGCCAGTTTTGAATTTAGAATCCCCAGACTCCTCAGATCCCTTCTTCCCAAACCAGCTAAGTCCCACATTGCAAGAAGTCTCACGATTGCATGTGTGGGCATCCCACGACTTCTAAATTCTATCCAAATCCCCACAACAAGCCATTTTTTAGGCCCAGGAGTGCACACCACCAGCATGATCTACCCTTGGGAGGATGAGGATGCACCTGAGGAAAAGACCTGTACAGGCCCTGGAAGCAGGATGGGGCCACCTGGAGGGGGAATCACAGTGTCTCAGGCACTAGAAGAGTGGTCTAGAGCAGGTGCATGTGCTCTGAAAGGTCACAGCTCCTTAGCCCCATGGACACTTAGCCTGTGAGAAGGATTCAGCCAGAGGCAGCCAGTGTGAAGACCAAGGTCAGGGCCTCTCTTTGCCAAGTCTAGAAGTAGCACCAGAGACAAGAGTAAGTACCCTGTGCTTTTCCACCCACCCAACTCCGCCAAACTGAAATAGAGTTGACATTTGCTCTACACTTTATACTTTGCAAAGCACCTTCGCATACAATACTCTTAGTCAATCCTCACAAGCTTGTAAGATTACAACGTAAGATCATTTGATAGAGGAGAACACTGAGCCAAAAGTGACTTGCCTGAAGTCAAGCAATAAAAAAATGAGTACTGCTAGGTCTCCAGTGGGGGACTTTTCCCTGCAAATTTTAAAGGTCCTATTCTTTCCACTATTCAATACTGCCACCCATCTCCCAGCTTCCTAGAGATTCAAAGGGGGCTAAAAAAAACCAAAACAAACAAACAAAAATGTAAATATGCATAAATTGTAAATATGTGGCTGAAACATTGTAGGAAAAGACCAGAGGCCGGGAAGGAAATTTAACAGCAAATATAGAGTAGTTTCTGGGAAAGATTCTGGGCCCAAAGCAAAAATCACCAGCAAGACAAAGAATACTATGTAAGAGCAACAATCCTAGCTGGGTGTTGGGGGCTCCTCTCCCACGCAGACCGCAAAATGAGGGCCTTCACCACATTTAAGCAATCTCCACCCAAATTCCACACCAATTACATGGGGGGGCCCTGGCTCCACAACTCTCCTTCTCTCCACCACCCCACCAAAAATACTTTATTAATGAGAGGGCAGCATAAAGCCACGGGACTCCATGTGCTCAGGGACAGCCCAGAGAGAGCGACCTGGCACCAGCCCCAGCTGAAGCCCGACCCTCCTCCAGTGAGGACCCGCTAAGCTATGCCTCCCTCTAATTACCAGATGCCTGGCTCAGGGCCTGGCCAGTTATTTAGAGAACCAGTGCCTGCTCCTCGCACAGATCTCCGTGAGGCTGGGGCCACAGGCACTGTCTGCTCAAAGCCAGCTGCCTGAAGCTGCCATCTCCCCACACCGCGGTCCTGGGACCCTTCCTGCGGCCTCTGCACCCCAAAGGTCAGCGGCACCATGTCACTCGCACACACAGCTGCAGAGTACATGCTATCAGATGCCCTGCTGCCCGACCGTAGGGGACCCCGCCTCAAAGGACTGCACCTGGAACTTCCCCTGGACCGCATGGTCAAGTTCATAGCTGTGGGCTTCCCCTTGTTGCTGATGTCCCTAGCATTTGCCCAGGAGTTCTCTTCCGGTAAGTAGCCTCCAAGACCCAGTGTATGAGAGACCCCACTTTGTTTCACTCTTTGCATGGACTCCGAAGTGGCTCCCATATTGTCCAGGTGTCATGACTTTGGCCTGGGCATTACCCAAAAAGCAGACTATGCGTGAATTTAGGGCACCAGCAGAGCAGAGGCACCAAAAATTTTGAAAACCATTTCCGAACTTTTGTAGTAAAAATATGTAGCTTTAATTTCGGTATTAGTATATTTTATGTCACTGCAATAATTATACTTTTATTTTGATTTTCATATGGATCTAGAGAGATCAGGGCTACATAATCTTTTCAGGACCTAGGACCGCTAAAGGTCTTAGTTGGCCATGCTTTAGATGAGTCTCTTACTGTCTCAGAGCCTTCTGCCTACTCTCCACCTCCAGGGTTTCTGATTTAAGGACATATGTTAAAAGACTGACATATCATAGGTGCTAAATAAATCCATTCCTTCTTTCCCACAGCCCGTGGCCACACACACACACACACACACGCACACACACACACATTAACAAACACACAGACCTGGTGTTCTAGGCACTAGATTAACTCTGCAAATTTCCTACCTCTATTAAAGAAAAGGTGGACTTCCTGAGGATTGGGATTTCTGGCTTTCTTTTCTGGCTATACGATTAGCTTACTGTTTCCCAAAGAGGTCTGTCAACCTCCCACTGCCTCTTCGTTCCCCCACAAGATGGAGAGAACACTTGGTTCCCCCTTCCACCTCTCTCTGGAGAATCATGGAAAAACAAAACTCTCCCTCCGAGCCCCTTCCCTTTCAGGACCTCCTGCTCACCCTTTCCCTTGATTGGGCTCAGAAACAGGCCATTAATCCTCTAAATTTTAGAACCTAAAAGATGCCAGTTCTCTCAGGAAGGAGAAGTCACCACCAAACCACAGGAGTGTGGGGCGCCCCTGCTGCCCGCGTGTCTGGGACTCCAAGGGAAGCTTTGAGAGGGAAGAACCCACGTCAAAGGGGAGCCAGTGCATTGAGGGAGCTGAGCCAAACAGGCCTATGGTGACTCTGCAGTGCACAACCTGAAACTGGGGCCTGGGAATCAGAAAGTGCCTGCCAGATAAAAAAAAAAACTGGCGGAGCTCTGGAGGCATCCCCTGGAAGGCTCTCAGCTGACAGTCCTCTGGGTCCCCATTCCTCCACTCCCAACTCCAGGCTGCCTCCAAGCTGTGTTCTTATTCCAGGGCCCCCCATCCGATGCTTCTCTCCCAGTAACTTCAGCATCCGGCAGGCCGCCTACGTGGACGGTTCCTGCTGGGACTCACTTATTCACCACGAACAGGATGAGCTTGGCCAGAACAAGATGAAATCCCTGTGGCCTCACAAGGTAAAGTAAGCTGGGCTCCATCAGGCTGCTTCGTGGCAGGGTGGAGCAGGCTAGAACCACATCATTATCTTCTCTCTTGCCTCTTTGCCACCCCACCCCATGTTTTTTTTTTTTTTCCTTTTGTCATTGACTTTCATGTTTCTTCAAATGTCTGGTGATCTTTGGTTGCCCACTTTTATCTGATTGGAAGCTTTGTGCCTATGGGTGAGGCTGGCTGACCAGCAGCCTTCTGTTTACAGTGAACCCTTCAGGCCATTTCACTGGGAAAACCTCAAATATCGGTATCTGTAATCCTTTCTCTTGGGCTGATTCCCAAAAAGCATCACTGGATCGTTAATTGTGTGGATCCAGGGTGGCAGTTGGTATTAAACTCGGTTACCAACACTCTAGAGACTCAACTGTGGGTCTCAGCACTCAGTATTCACTCAACTAACATGGTTCTCAAGTTTGTTCCCCTGCCCTCAAAGGACCCAAGTGCAGAAACTCTTTGGTTTAATGTTTCCAAAGAGCAAACCACAGGCGGATTGATTCTGCCGGCGGATGGAAAGGGCAGTCGCTTGACAAGTGCATCATATTATAGGGAAGATCTGTGGGCCTGTTTTTTCAATATTCCTGTTTGCAACCCCACCTGTACCCCCATTTTCAGACGTACCTCCTATCTGCAACTCTTGAGTCTTTCTAGTTCTGTGGTGCAAAAACAGCTTGCTTGGCCTGCCTCAACTCCCATCTCCCTACCCCCCCAAACAGGCTGCTATTTTCTAGCAGACGACTGATTTCCAGTTTGCAACATTTTCTTGCTCTTGTCTCCCGTTTTCCTTGTCCTTGGAGAATTATGTCTTTTTTATCCCTTTAGTGCCATGCTAGTGGGGCTTCGTGAGGGAGCAGAAGTCACGTGTGTGTCCAATTCACAATGTTGAACTGGAAGTCACTGGTGACATTTTTAAGTTATGACAATTTACAAGGCCTCAAAAGGCCACACAGGTCTGGGACCCAGGCAAAACTACAGACTTAATGGAAAGAGTTCATGGGGTGTCTGTCAGTGGAAGTGTTCAAACAGGATCCAGATGGCAACAAGGGCAAGATACTGCAGAGGGGATTCAAATGTGAAAAGAGTCAAACTGTCTGACCAGGATTGCCTGAGAGCTCTTTAAACCCAGATTCTCTGGTTCCACTTCAAACCTACTGGAACAGAATCTCTGGGGGTGATGCTTATCTTCAAGAAATGCCATGTCTTAGAACAGGAATGAAAAGGTTCTAATTTTTCTCGTGGATTAGTATAGTTTTCCTAACATGTCTCTCGTGTTTAGTTCAGAAACACACACACACACACACACACACACACACACACACACACACTTTCTTCCATCTAGCTGCAACCAAATATGCATCCTCCCTCTTTTTTTTCAAATTCTCCTCCAAAATAAAAGGCAACCGTTGTTCAGGAGAAGCTACAGTCAAGTAGTTCTTATGAGCTCCTAAATCAGACTGCCTAGTTCCTGATCCTGCTCAGCCATCCACGAGACGTATAACCCTGTACAGCTTACTTAACCTTTTCATGCCTCAATTTTCTTATCTGTAAAATAGAGATACTAATAGTACCTACCTGATAGCATCTTTGTGAAGAGCAAATGAAATAATGCATGTCAAGCACCTGGCACAAATGAGCTTAAAAAGCCTTTAACAAGTTGAGTTTTATGGGGCGCCTGGGTGGCTCAGTCGGTTAAGCGTCCGACTTCGGCTCAGGTCACGATCTCACGGTCCGTTAGTTCGAGCCCCGCGTCGGGCTCTGGGCTGATGGCTCAGAGCCTGAAGCCTGCTTCCGATTCTGTGTCTCCCTCTCTCTCTGCCCCTCCCCCGTTCATGCTCTGTCTCTCACTGTCTCAAAAATAAAAACGTTAAAAAAAATTTAAAAAAAACAAAACACGTTGAGTTTTTACTGTGGGTAAAATAGCGGCCCAGCCCCTGTTGGGTGTGGTAGGGAAAAGTCCCTTACCTCAGGTGGTAAATTGTGTAGTTGAGGACACAAGACTCACCCATTTGTCAACGTCAGCTTGTATACATACTGAACAGGAATAGCCCCAAAGTCTTCCAAGACAGTGCCTGGTGGTGTCGTTTGGCATGGCCACAAACGCAGAGATGAAAACACAACTGCACACGAGAGGAACCGGGGAAGGCAGCGTGGAGGCTATGGGATTTGATCCCCTCTCTGGAGGGTCTAAGCCAAAGTCAGCCATGTTGAGGCCCCTGACTGGACTTTGAAAGCTAACAGACTCTGGGTGTCTGGCGATAAGAACTTGGAGGAGTCAAAGAAAGGGAGATGGAAGATTAAGAAGGCGGACACTCTCCCCTAGGATGTGATGCCATGACCACTGCTGGCCATGGTCTCTGCTCAGCGACCCAGGCTAACATGCATGGGGAACGGAGGGACTCTTGTGGTTCTGTATCGCTCTCCCCCACCTTCTGTCTCCCTCTTTCCCTCCTTATATCCCTCTCCCTCCCCTTGTCCTCCCTGGGCTCCTACATACCTACACAGACCCCAGATCTGAGGAGTGCAGCTGGGGAACATGGAGATTCAGCAAACCTTCTCCTCTGGGCTTCAACATACTCAGCCAGGTCAGTAGACAGCCTTACGTCCTGGGCCTGTGGTGGCTCATTCCCCCCACCGCCTTCCTTCCCCGACGCAGGAAGCAGGGAATGAGAGCCCCTCTCTCAGAGCTCTCTCTACACACTGGGGCCCCCTCCTCAGCTCACTCTCACCCCACAGGCCCTGCCCTACTCCCTGCTGGCCTTGGCTGTGGTCATGTACCTGCCTGTTCTGCTGTGGCAGTATGCAGCCCAGCCGGCCCTCAGCTCGGATCTGCTCTTCATCATCAGCGAACTGGACAAATCCTACAATCGTTCCATCCGCCTGGTGCAGCACATGTTGAAGATCCGGCAGAAAAGCTCAGACCCCCATGTTTTCTGGGATGAGCTGGAGAAGTGAGTTGTCTCTCCCACCCATTTCTGAAGGCCTCAGTTGAGCGTTAACATGGCGTGCAGGGTCATCGTCAAACTATCCTCTGTACTGTCCTTCTCATGAACCCAAAGAGTTTAACACACCATCTCACTAACTTTCCATCATTTCTGTACAGGGAGGACAGAAAGGACTCTTCCTTAGTTTATAGATGAACATCCTGCGTCACAAAGGGGTTAATCTCTCTAATGTACCACTTTTGTATACCATTCCCCTGCTCAGAACCTCCCCCCATGCCTGCAGGAAAAAACCCAAATTCTCCCACATATTTTCCCAAGGCCCTCTACTTTTTCACACCTCTGACCACCAAGTGACAGAAACCTCCCACTTTACCAAGGCAGTCTCCTCCTCTTCTCCTGATTAGCCATTCATGCCTAATTTGCTGTGGCCCCGGCACTGTTCTGGGTGCTCCAGACCCATCAGTGTGCCTTGTGTGTGTCAGAGGCAGGGGTGGGGAGGGGACAAAGGTATACCTACCCATATAGGGACTCACATTCTATGGAGGGGAAACAGACAACAAATAAACACAACACATAGCAAATCATATGGCAGAAGATAAGTGGTATGGGAGCGGGGGAGCAAAGCCAAGTATGGGGGTCAGGAAAGCTGCAAGGTTGTGGAGTGGTGCCATTTTAAATAGGGCAGCCAAGGTAGGTTCCACCAACAGGAGCGTTGAACTGAGATTTGGAAGCATATTCTGTCTTGTGTGTGTGCACATTCTCTATCCTCTGAAAAACGTTCCTCTCCTGTGTGTCTTTCTGAACTCCATCCACCTCTCCATCCAGCTCCAAGACAATATTCTCCATAAAGGTTTCTGAACACTCCAGCCCGTGCTGGTAACTCTCTCCTAACTTGTACAACACCGTGGTTTGTATCCACCATTTTAGCAACAAATCAAGCACTACTATTATTTCCTATTGGCGTACCTTATCTGCCCCTTCCCCACAAGGCAGCCTGTAAGCTCCTTCAGAGCAGAGACTGGCTTACATGTGCCTGAACACCACAGCTCTCAACAAATATTTGTTAGCGTGTTTATTTTCATAAAATGGGTGGGTTGGCCTAAAAATCATACACACAGTATACAGACCAAGCACCAGAACGCGGTTATTTAGACTCCCCGTCCAGTGCTAATTTAATAGGCTTATTGCTTCCTAAGGATCCTGTTTCGGCTTACAGGTTTAGTCTGCTCTGCTGGGCAGAAATCCAGTGTGGCCATTTGTTATTCACTGATCATTCCCTGGGTTGACCACATTGCACTCGTCAGCTGGAAAATTAAGACATACTCACACGCTCTTTAGGGAGAGGGGTGGTTATGCTCCAGGAAGGCAGACTTTCACGTGAGCCAAGAATGCCACGTGGCATACACAGATTCCATTACTGCCCCACGTGGCTCTCTCAGATATGGTTCCAAATGGTCTCTCCTCACCCTGCCTCCTTTCTTCCCCTGCCCAGGGCTCGGAAAGAACGATACTTTGAATTCCCCTTGCTAGAGCGGTACCTGGCCTGTAAGCAGCGCTCACATTCCCTGGTGGCCACCTACCTCCTGAGGAACTCCCTCCTGCTCCTCTTCACGTCAGCCATCTACCTGTACCTTGGCCACTTCCACCTGGATGTCTTCTTCCAAGAGGAATTCAGCTGTTCCATCAAGACAGGCCTCCTAAGTGATGAGACCCACGTGCCCCATCTGATCACATGCAGGCTGACCTCTCTGTCCATTTTGCAAATTGTTAGTCTCTCCAGTTTAACAATATACACCCTATTGGTTCCGGTGATAATATACAACCTCACACGACTATGTCGGTGGGACAAACGGCTCCTATCCATCTATGAGATGCTGCCAGCTTTCGATCTCCTCAGCAGAAAGATGCTGGGATGCCCCATCAATGATCTCAATGTGATCCTCCTTTTCCTCCGAGCCAACATCTCTGAACTCAACTCTTTTAGTTGGTTGAGTGTCTTATGTGTTTTGAAGGACACGACCACCCAGAAGCACAACATTGACACAGTGGTCGATTTCATGACATTATTGGCTGGCTTAGAACCCACAAAACCTAAACATCTCACCCAAAGGGTGTGTGATGAAAACCCCTAGTTAAAAAAACCGTGGAGCAAGAAATTTTATGGAAAGTAAAAATCTCTCTCCTTCTTCACAAGCCTCACACACTAAGGTACAAAAATACCCGCTTTAGAAATGCTAAGTGTGGATTCAGCTGAATCACATCCTGTATCATGTTTTCCTAAAGGTGAGAAGATAAAATCAACGCATGAAAACAAATCTGAAAGTTAGAGCTGAAGAGTCCAAGAACTAAAAAATTAGATCTAGAGCATTCTATGAGGATAGGGGGGGAAAAAAACCACCTAAAACTCAACTGAAGTCTAGACATTCTATAAGGAAAGAAGGTGCTAAAGGCTATTTATGGAGGCAGGTTCTTTTCAGTATATGCACTCCATTGCCCTTCTGGAATGCACGCTCAGCTCAACCCAAAGAGCAAAAGGGCAATCTGTTAAGTGAATAAAAATGTGAAATGCTTCAGGTGTGGCCTGAAATCCTAGGAACTTGCCAGCTTGCTTTGTGGAAGTCATTGACCTTGCCCAGGTCCTGTGTGGCCTGCAGAGTGGGATAGAAGACAATGATGGCAGGACCTTGTTATCTGCTTTTGGGGGTTCGGCCAGCATAGAACGAGGCCGGGGCCATGCATCAGCTAGGGGTGGAGCTCTGGGTTTTCTTCATCATCTAAACCAGGGACCACTTCGCCAAGGGCTGGGATTATGGGCTTCTTCACAACTCTTGAGGGGCCCAGGCGTGCTTCGAATACTCCAGGAGATGCCACACCTCCTCCACTTACAGCCAGTCACTGAATAGTGACCATTAGAACTAAATGGGAAAGACAGGAAAGTGCTGTTGGGCCCTTTCTCTCTCTTCTTTATTACCCCCTCTTAGCTTCTAACTTCCATTCCTGCATCTGAATTTAATGGAACCTTGATCTGACTTCTGAGGCCCTGCCCAGCCCACGATACCAAGCTGTCTCTCATTTGATATTTCATTTACAGAGCTGCATATTTCTTCAGAGAATTTTTGTATGCACCATTTAGACCCTTCTTCATATAGGTAAGCAGAAAAATTACATTGCTCCCATGCTTCTCACAACGCTGAGCCTTTGAATATGCTGTTTCACTGCCCAAGATGCCCTCCCCTGTTCTTCACTGGCTGTCCACCAGCTCTCCTTCTGAGTCTGCCCAGACATATTTCCTGCAAGAAGGCTTCCCTATCTCCTCCCCTCTTCCCTAATTATGTGCTGCCATATCATTCAATACCTACCTCTGAGATAAAAATTCTTACACTGTATGAATATTGCCCACTCATTTGCCTTTTCCTCTTTAACAAGTTTCCTAAAGGTTGTATCATAGTGGGCACTAAATAAGTATTAATCTGAATAAGTAAGTGACTGAATTTTGCTCAACCACGTTACATTGTTTGGAGCACACAGACCCAGCCCCTAAATAATCTTGTATAAAAAAAGCTTTGTGGGGCACTTGGCTGGCTCAGTCGACTGAGTGTCTGACTTCAGCTCAGGTCATGATCTCGCAGTTTGTGAGTTCAAGCTCCGCATCAGGCTCCATGCTGACAGCTCGGAGCCTGGAGCCTGCTTCGGATTCTGTGTCTCTCGCTCTCTGCCCCTCCCCCACTCGCACTCTGTACCTCTCTCTCAAAAATAAACATTAATAAAAACTTTGTGCACAGAGATGCACTCCACAGCAATTGCTGAGCAAAAAGCCAAACAACATGGAAGTAATCATGTAAAATTATTATGCCGTAACTGGACTATTAAGCATTCATTTAAAATTATGTTTATGCTCCCGCTCTGTCTCTGTCTCTCAAAAAAAGAATAAACGTTAATAAAAAAGTTGTAATTATGCTTATAAAGAAATCATAATAACACCACAAAATGATAATAAAGGTCAGTGAACAAAAAGGAAACATTATCTAACATATATGAAAGTGCATGAAGGTATTAAACACATACAAACGTTAAAAGTGGCTCTCCTTCACTGGGTGTTGTACGGAAACCAATTTGACAATCAATTTCATATACTGAAAAAAATTAAAATAAAAAAATAAAATAAAAGTGGCTCACCTTATGTGGCAACATTATGGATTTTTAAAAAATCTTCTTTGTACTATATTTTCTAAATTTCTAAAACTTGCCCAAAATGCTTTATAAATTGTAAGGAAACGTTTCTACTGAAGAAAAAGTCATATTGTAATGCAAATTCCACTGAAATCCATTGGCTAGAGCAGCTTGAAAACTAAAGGAATGAACACACTTTCCCTCCCCATAGGTATGAAACCTGTATATGAAAAGGAACAATGAAAATAAAGTCAGATCACAAAGCCTGCAAAGACAAAATACAGATGAACGGCAAATAAGTCACACAGTTGGCAAATAGGGTTTTTTTTTAATTTTTTAAATGTTTATTTAAAAAACGTAAACGGGGGAGGGAGCGTAAACGGGGGAGGGGCAGAGACAGAGGGAGACAAAGAATCTGAAGCAGGCTGTAGGCTCCAAACTCTGAGCTGTCAGCACATAGCCGGATGCAGGGCTCCAACGATGCAGGGTGAGACCATGACCTGAGCCCAAGTCAGAGGCTTAACCTATCGAGCGCCTATTTGCAGGCGCCCCTGCAAATAGGTTTAAAAAAAAAAAAAAAAATCTCTTCCTGTCACTCAATTATCTTTTCTCAGGTTCCAAGAGCCAACCTATACTAGCAAAGACATGATTGTGGATATTTGATTGTGGATATTTTGTGGGCAGAAAATATTCCTGGCAGTTTCCAAAAATGTATCTATTATGGCTGCCTTGAGTATGGCTGTGAAAGCACACTGGCATCCTGAAGAGTTGCTCTGTGAAAACTCAGCCACATGCAACAAGGGCAGCTTTCATTATGGAAGGATATGAAAGAACTTTCATAGACTTCTGTGTGAAAACCATTTTGTCTTGACCCTGTCACTATTTTTACAATAATCAGAAATGAAATAGCTGGGTCATCAATTTGAAACCTTTTTTTGAACTCTGATTGTTACTTACACACATTAGTGTTACATTTTTCTCCAGTAATTCACTGAATTTGTTTTAACTATGTACATACTTTCTTTAATTTCCATATACAACTCCAGAAGTCCACATTTTGACTGTCTAACGGTAATTATATTTTACACCAGTTTAGAACCCTCACTAGCCTCCCTTATTCTAAATAGTATATTCAGTTTTCAACGGAAAAACCTGTGACACACAGGCTTATTCAGCTAGTTAGTGGCATTGCTGGAATAAGAATACAACAAGCCTTTTGAGCATCCAACTCCTGACTTTGGCTCAGGCCGTGATCTCACGGTTCATGAATTGGAGCCCAACTTCGGGCTCCGTGCTGACAGTGCTGACTGAGCCTGCTCGGGATTCTCTCTCCCTTCTCTCTGCCTCTCTCTCAAAAGTAAACTTAAAAAAAAAAAAAAAAATACAAGCGTTTTGTCTTCCAGACCTGAGCATTTACCAGCACTGCCTCCTAAAAATTGCCTACCCTCCTTATTTGAGGATTTTAGATAGACCTTGGTTACAAAGTTAGCGCTAAGTTAATATAGGTAGAGCTCCAGAAACATACTTTTGGTTTCATCAGGGAAACATTTACTGAGTGCCTACTTAGTGCTAGCTCGTTATTAAAACTCTTCTCTTCCCTATTAGAGCCTAACTTGAAGGGGCAGAAGCCTTTTTTCTAGTCACCAGTGTTGTCCCAGATCCTAGTTAAATCTCGGCCTCATAGGCTTTCGGGAAACCTTTATGCGAGCTGTATACCGGAAAGCCGCAGTCCCAGCACAGGCTTTCAAGTGCGTCCCACATTTCGGGAAGACCCGTTAGGGAGTGTGGAAAACTGGAGCTGAAACGCGGTGGGCTGGGGGTGCGTGTGGGAGATTCGCGCCGGCAAGATTTCGGGGCTTTTAGCCGTTAGCTCCACAGTAATACTCCTCAGCTAAGGACACAGCAGCGAAACACCGAGTCTGCTCTTCGGTCGCCGGCACCCGCCCCTCCCTGCTCCAGACCGCAGATCTGCACATCCCAGACCACCCCAGGCTCACGGCCCCGGAAGTTACTCGCGGCCGGCGCCGTTACGTAACTTCCGGGCGGGGCTTACTTCCGAGGCAGACGCGGAAGTGCTGGGAGGCCCGGTGGCCGAGGTCGGTTGCCGGACTTTTGGCCCGGCCTTTCGCCTTGGGAAAGTTCTGGAGGGGTAGATTCCTAAGAAGCCGGCTTCCGGCAACCCAGACGAGACGAAGCCGACGCTCCTCGGCCTGGGAGCCGATGCCGGCCGCGCCCTGGAGGCCCCGTAGCGGGGCCGGACGATGAGCCTGCTGGGCGGCCCGGCCTCCTCGCCGCGGGCCCCGCTGCAGTCCAGCAAGGCCAGGATGAAAAAGCTCCCGAAGAAGAGCCAGAACGAGAAGTACCGTCTCAAGTACCTGCGGCTGCGCAAAGCGGCCAAAGCCACCGTGTTTGTGAGTCAGAGTGTCGCTCGGCCCTTCTCCGCCTCGACACTCCTAATTCGCGAGATCTTTCCCCACACCGTTCCCCTCCCAGAGTGGCCGAATCAGTAGTGTTAGCTTTTGCAGTACACGTTACTTCTCGTTAGCCTTGTGTCCTTGGGCACCTTAGCTAATTTCTGTACTCTTCTGTTTCCTGAAGAGAGCTAACTGCCTTTCAGAGTCGTGAAGATTTAATTGAGAAAAGTAAAATGCTTGACATCTGGAAGATGTGCCAGTCGGTTTCAGTCATCGTTCTTACCACGAAACTCTTGGAAAAGCGTTTGATTCTCAAGAGAACCCTAGAGTTAGGCACTGTTTTTTAAAATGGCATCACCGAAACCCCAAGAGATGACTTATGCAAGGGCGCTGTGTCCCAGCCCTGATTCCTGGTCCTAGTGTCTTCAATACTTCGACTACACAGCCTTATTTCCCAAGCACCCCAAATCCGCATAACAGACCTCTGCCCTAAACAGGCTCACAAAACTTTCAATAATTCCCCCCACCCCCGCCCCCCTCTAACCTCT